ATGCGGAGGGCCTGGGCGCCTTCAGTTCACAGATCCTTTCCTCTCCACTTGAACTCTTTTAGGGTGGTATGAAAAGGGCGAATGGTGATGAGCTTCACTGAGCAGGGGAATGGGCGACCTCACTGGGGGAGGGGCCGCATGTCATGCTGCTACCCGAGACTGCAAGATACGGGGGGCCAGGGGACGGTCAACCCCTCCCACCCCGACCAGCAGGCCTGCGCTTGGCTGGCCGGGGCCTCTTGCGGAATCCAGTTCTTGGCCAGGAGTCCCTGCCATAGACCTCGGGAGATCTGAGGGAGGCTCAGCAAACCTGGCGGCCGCTCTCCGGGTTTGGCAAACTCGAGATTTTTCCAGCGCCTTGTGTTCAGCAAAACCGAAAATGTGTTTGGCTAGAAACCCTCCTCTAATTTTTAAACCCCTGTGCATTTTTTACGTAAATTTGATCCACATGTTTTTGATTTATTTTTATTTAACTCATCAAGTTGAATTAGGAGCTACAATGATGAAGGGAACGATGCTGATTTCCAAGAAGGCTTTTGAGCCTCTCTTCTCAGAACTAAATCACCTCTCCCCCACCCCACCATTGGAGCCACCAGACTGAGCTGGGTTTGAAATTTTGAACCCAGATGTGAAATAAAGATCCACGCTTGGCAGAGACGAAGCACAGCACAGGAATGTTACTAGGAAGTCACTGTCAGAAAGCCAGGGCGGGGTGGGGGTGGGGGTGGGGAATGAAGACAGGAAGGGAGGCAGTCAATCTTCATTAGACGGTTTATATCAATTTACCTGCCTTCCTGGGCTCCCAACAGAAGTCCCAGCTGGTTCTCTAGGGCCTGACTTTAACACTACCACCCAGGGAAAGGAGTTCCTGTCCCAAGATTGGGGCTGACGGGTCCCCTGTACCCATCTTCTTTTCTCTGCGCTCCTCCAAGCTGCTCCTCCGCTTCCCTCTTGCCTTCCTCCCCCTTTCCTGGCTCTGGTTAAGGCCTCTCCATGTGGAAGCATTTAAAATATACAACAATTTTAATCTCGTGCAAAGGAATATTGGGATCTATGCTACATACCCATTAAAGCTAAATTATAGGTACACAATCTTATTTTGCACAATTCTGCCTGGCCTAAGTTGGCACATACTAAAGGCCATTACTGTCTATCCCAATTACTTTTTATACTACTCCATCATTTTCTACAACTTAAGTCTGAGGCTGGCAGTATTTCTCTGAAAAACTGGCCACTGAGGTCCCAAGACAAAGGTCTCTCTTCAGATGCCCTCGAAGCAGCACTCAGAGGGTCCCTTGGCCACTGTCCAAAGAAATTTCCTTAAACTCGGCTTCTCTCCCGCACACGCACTGATTGAATCAGACCGACCTTGGTGTAAGTACCATCTTGATGCCTGATAACTGTACAGTGTTGGGGGAGATATTTCACTTCCCTGGGTCTCAGTTTCCTATTCTGATACACACTTCACCGAGCCGTGAGGGTTTAATGAGATGCTGCATATGTTAAAAACAACAACAACCCATAGTATGTTGTCTGGCGCAGACTAAGTAGTTAACAAATGTGACTTGTTATTGTTACTATAAAAACTCCACACTTCATTCATCTTTATACTTCTCTAATGCATGTACATTTTTCCAGAGGTTGCCCGTTTCCTCTCTAATCCGTTGCATTCCTCACCAACACGGAACCAGCCAACCCACTTCCCTGCAAACCAGCATCACTGAAGACAGGCGACCTGCGGCTGCTGATCAACCAACTGGGACGTTTCATTGGGGAGTTTCCCACACAGGCCCACGTTTTAAACCTACAGTCTCTTCCTGGGATGCACAGTAGCAGGGCGACTGGCAGATCTATAACTTAACTGCATAGAGATCCTCCTTCAAACCAAACCTCTTCTCGCTTTACATAGAAAGCATATGTGTGTGTACAGGGGTGGGAGGTGAGAAGGCGGTTTTCACTTTGCTTTAAGGAACAAAGTGGTTAATTCGTGTTTCCTGAGACACTCCCAGCACAGGAACCTGAGTCACACGCCATCTGTCCCTTTGGGAAAGCAGAAAGGTGTCGGCACCATTGAGTATGTCTGATCAATGCCTCTCCAAGGGGGAAAATATAGGTATTCATGAGTCTGGCTAGGGACAGTTTCAGCAGTAAGTCATGGATCCCGATGTTGGCCAGAATTGAGGGATCGGGGATCCCAGCTTCTGGGGGACCTGGGACATTGTGATGTAGTAATGGTCCTCAGCACGCAGACTTGCTCTGAGGGCTACAAGAGAGACACTGGCAAGCTCTTGACAAATGCTCATTATTTCTACCTAGCTAACCTCTCCTGAAATCCTAGGTGGTTTCAGGAAATCTGTGTCTTCCATGCCTGGTATTTATTTACTAGAGACTGCCCTCTCGGTGGCCTCCTAACTGCCTGTGGCTGTGTGTATTTTGGACACCAGCCCCAGCAATAGAGGAAACTACCCCTGCGCACAGCCCTGCCGGAGGGGCGGGCCAGGTGACTGTGCGCATCAATGTCTCTGGAGTGGGTACACAATCTGAAGGCCTGGTCTGTAGACTGGAAAGTCACTTGTGGCCTAGTATAAAAGGTGAATTGGGCCAATGAAATTCCTCGCTGGTAATCTGGACCCGGGAGAGTGAGAAACTGGGTTGATTGGCAGCAGAGACAGATAGAACATGGCTGGTCCCATTCGGGGCAGGACACTCTCGTGAAGGTGACAGCCTCCCCTGCTGAGGTCCTCCAGGACCGTTGAGTCCAGAACCACCCTCCCATACAGCCTGGCTGTTCAGGGTTCTTCTTGTAGACACCACGAACATCTCTTCTAATATCATCAAAATAAACATTTCCTTTTTTGTGAGTTAGCTTGAGTGGGGTTTCTGTTTCCTCCAACAGAAAGAGCCTCCACTCACACAGCACCTCCCCTTGGGAAGAGCATGCAGATGGAGCTCTGGCTACACATTCTGGGCACTTCCAGTGCAAGGCGTCGCTTCAACAAGCACTCACACAGGGGGCAAACACCGTCGCTTCCTGACTCGCTCCTCTCCAGCTCCCTTCTACCGCAGAAATGGGAAAAGTTAAAGCTCTCTCCCTCCCAGCCTGCCCTGCAGAGGGGGGAGGTCATGTGACACAGTTCTGGACAAAGACTAGCAAGTATCTGTTGTAGGGGACAGCAGCCTCCCACCTGCCTTGCATGAAAATGCTATGGCCTGGAGCTGCTGTCACCATCTTGCAACCACGAACTGAAAGCCAGACAAGAGGACACTCCAGCCCTGGCATCTGCAGAGGCTCTACCACTACCAGCAGCCACCAAATTACAGCCTCCTTGTTATGTGAGAAAAATACGCCCCTAGACTACTATTAGATTTTTCTATAACTTAGAAGCAAAATCTTTTCTAAATTATATGCTCTGAAATAGAACTTGATATTGTTTCCTGTATTGCAAGAAAAATGATTTTTTTAACCACATTTATGACTCGTTTTTCAATTAGCCTCTCCAGACACCAACTGAATGATACCAGCTCTCCAGGTAATTAAAGATCTAAGAAGGGAGGAAGTATATATGTCAAGAACTATGCTACAGGCAGAACATGAGCATGCTGTAAGAGGCAGGGATCTGGAGCAGGGAGAAGACTTTACTTCTGATCGGGGGAGGGGAAATCAGGGAAGTCTCCAAGGGAGATGCCTTTAAGGTAAAACCTAGAGGAAAAAAAGAATTTGGATGTCTGCAGATGGGCAGGAAGGGCATTCTAGGTAGAAGGAGTAGCTTAAGTAAATATGGGAAAATGAAGGTCATGTGTAGGAAATAAAAGTTCCTTCTGGCTGCAGTAGGGGAATAAAGATCAGATTAAAAAGTCAGACGGATTTATAACAAGCCTTGAATGCCAAGAAAAGGAGACTGGGCTTTATTCCCCAAGTCATGTGTTGTTTAAAGGTTCTAAGCAAACAGGGTCAGAGTAGTTGTTTAGGAAAATCTACTTGACAGCAACATGTGGGATGGACCAAGGAGGCAGGGGATGCCCCTCGGGGGCTCTGCAGCTACCAGGACAGCGGTGATGAGGGTATGAAACGGGGGAGTCAAAGTGAGGACGGCGCGGGAAAGAGAAACAGACAGGAGATTCTACAGAAGTAACATAGTACACGCCAGCTGCTGTCTGGATATGGGGCGTGAGTCATGAAGGAACAAGGTAAGAAAATATTTTTTCGTACAAAACAGAAACAAAAACCTCATGTGGTACCTCTGGAGCTGAAGACAGGAAGGGTTTGATGTAGATGTTGGAGTCGTGCACCTTCAGGTCATGGTCCCCCAGTCCCCTGGTCACTCCGATAGTCGCCATCACTCGGGCCTGGGAGGAAAGCAGAGGTCATGAGAAACACTCGCACGTGCGAGGAAGGGTTTCCATTGCCGGTTACAGTACAGCCACCACAGGCCAAGAGAGGAGCAATACTTTTCCAATTCCTCTTGCCTCTCTCTCTCTGTGCCCCTTGCTACTAACGTATGTGGGTCGCTGTTTCCAAGGAAGGGCTCACCAAGGTCACCTATGTCCTCAGCAAGTGGCTTTCCCAATTATCCTAAGTTTGATGGGCTGCTGTTGTTGCTTTTCAATTTTCTTTAGTAGAGACTGGAGGGAAGGGTGTCCAATAAACTAAATCCAGTACATGTGTGATGTCTACAGCTACTAATTTCAGTTCAAACCAAATTCGGCAGCATCCATCCATTCACCCAACCCCTCTGTCCACCTGTCCGTCCATCCGTCTGTCATACACTCGCTCCACAAGTATTTGCAGAGCACCAGCTATATCTCTGGTACCATAAAAGGCACTAGTAAAAGACATGAAGAAGTCAGTGGCAGCTCCTACTTGACACTTTATGGCTGGAGAAAATAAATCATTAGCAACTCTGTAACCTACCCTTTCTCCACAAATTCTCTCTGGGTGAACACGTCGCTTCACTATAACCACACAGAGACCTCAGGGCTGAGACCCTACCACCCGTGTGCCTTTGGTTTTCTGAATGCTTTAAGGAAGCAAGACTCTTACACCAACTCCTATGCAGTCAGCCTTACTACCTCCCTGGATGCCACAGATTTGACTTACACAAACATTCAGTAAGCACCTACTAAGTGCAGGCACCACGCTATGGGGGACAAACACTTATGGACTTGTCCCTACTATAAAGGAACCCGGTCAGGGAGAGAAGAGGCACATAACTAATGATATATAAAATATAGCCGAGTGTTGAAAGACATAAACAATAGGTTGTGTGAGTTCAGAGGAGGTAAAAATTCTGCTGAGAAGGTTCCCTGGAGGTGGCACCAAATTTCTGTGCAGAAGATGGGCAGCATCAAGATAGGTAAACACAGAGGGATGAAGGTCATTCTGGGTGGAATGAAGCCCAATGGCCTAACACTTGGATCTCCAATAATATATCCAGCGCAGTGTCATGGTTCAAAGACCCGGCTTGAAGACTCACCCTACTGCTTGGGTAATAAGAGTAACTTACAAATGCTAGGCAACTTTACAACCTAACACAGTACCATCATCTCCCCCTAGTTTCCCCAAAAGGCTGTGGAGTTTGGAGCTGGTTTCAAATCAGATGGTGGGCAAGTCTGCATTAAAAGTGGAAATGAAAGCATGACACGGCTTTTAAAGGCGGGAATCAAAGGGGGTCAAGTGCACACGCTGATGCGCAGCTGGGGACCTCTGGGCTGCAGAAGCTCTGAGCTCTGCTGGGAAGCTGGGCCGGCTCCCTTCCAGCTGAGAAATGTTCAACTCTAGACGCAGAAACTCTGTGTCCCTGTGGTCCCGCTCTCCTCCCTGCAATGGCACCTGCTCTGGCTGGAGAAAGCACAGGTGGGCGTGTTGGTTCAAAGAAATCTGGTGTTTCTGCTAGTTACTGGATTTGTTTACAAAGTATATAGGTGTCACCCGCACGAGTGCTGAAAAACGCTGGCAGGAATAAAACGAAAAGTAATGGCTGTGAAAGTATCCCGAAACTCCTGGGTAGGTATATGCAGAGAGGAGAGAGGCAAGAGAAAAGCCCTGTAGAGGATCTGGGCGGAACTGACGCCTGCAGTTATAAAGATGTCTCAGGAAACCGTGCAGTCCTCAGGCAGGGTGGGGTGCCGCTCCGGTGCAGGGCAAGCCTGGGGCCAACTGGGGTCACAGCGGCTTTTAAATAGGTCACAGCTCCAGTGACAGAACTCGTCAGCTGCGCATCACAGAACTGTCGAGCCCCAATTAACCAACATGCTTGAGGAGCGTGATGTCCTGGGAAACTGAACACTTTCATAACTGGGAAAACCGTCCTCCTTTAAATCTTACTGTTGATAACCTCCAAAGATCACATTCGCCCATTTTCCTGTTGGGTGAAGGACAGTATCCTGATCATAACTGAAGAGCTTATTTGATACTCATGCATTTCTTGAAGGCCTGTCGTGTGTCAGGTGCCAGGCTAGACAGGAACTAGGGAGACAACGATCACAGGATGTGGTCCTGAGCTCAGTGGATCTCACTGGGCACGGCAGGGAGACACTGAGAATCTCAGCCCCACAAAGAACTCCACGTGCAGGGGGAGGTCATTGGGCTGAGTGACTCGCGTTAATGGCGCCCACTGTACTGAGAGGCTCAAACACTTCCGTGAGGGACAGAGCCCTTCCTGGTCACAATTCTTAACCACAGACAGTGGGTAGAAGATGTGCCATCTCCAGGAAAGGGGCACGTTAGATTGAAAAGTGATTGCTACATGGATCAGATATTTATGTTTTATTTCCCTCCATGAAATACCTCCTTCCGATGAAATCACTGCTGGGCTACACTGAGCCCCCTAATTCTCTCTCTCTCTCTCTCATGTGTGCGTGCGCGCACACACACACACACACACACACACTCAAGTTCTGCCCAGGAAGGCATCCTCCAGTTTTCTTATGAGTCAGTTCCTCCTGCTAAAAACTATCAAATGCTGAAAAAAAATTTCAGTTGAATATTCTTCTTAATGTGCCCACGTTTCCCTCCTCTAACTGGAACTCTCAGCACCTAGCTGGAACGGATCTGTCCGCAGGAAGCAGGCAATGATTCAGAAGGTGTTTGTTCCGACTGGGAGCTGGCTTCAAAGCCCCTCGTCTCCGCTCCAGGCTGCAGCCCCCTCCAGCCTCCGCTCACGGACCAGGCGCCGGCCACCGGCCTTCCTCCGCGTCAGCAACGTGCCTGCTGCTCGCCCGTGGTGCCGACGGGGGCCTGGGAGCTGGGGGTGAACGGTCTGTGCCGACCCCGCCTGGGCTCGGGTCTGTGTGATCCTGTAGCTTAGTCACAGCCAAGCTCTGGGTCCCCTTCCACTTGCAGAGTCGGAGCTTCCAGAGTGGGGTGTGAGAGCACGAGGAGGGGACAGAGAGCCACGGCTCCGCACTGGTGACCACCCCGCTCGCCGGGTGACGCCCAGCTGCCTCCTCCCCGAATGCCTAGGCACTGCCCGCTCCGCCTGCCCGCGGCGTCAGACAGACAGCGAGGTGATGCATGCGAGCGTGGCCGTGTTTACCCACGGGACCAAGTTATTCAAACGGACTGAGAAGGGCAGTGTTATTTTCACAAAACTGACTTTCCTCCCCTAAGCCTGCAGCCCTCCCCAGCCCTGCCACTCCCGGGCCCTCCAGGCGGAGGCCTGAGGCTGGGGGTGACTCAGCCGCCGGGGCTGCAACCAGGAGCTGGCGAGCGGGAGGGACGGAGGGACGCGCAGACGCATGCCTACCTTCTTGCCTTCTCCATATATTAGAGGAAACTTCAAGTCATCGTCCTCAATGGTTTTGTAGGCCCTGTAGGGGGATAAACAACATTCTTTAACAGGCTTGCACCCAATTAGGGACCCGAGTGCGCCCTTACACTGGCTGCTCGGTGCTTTCTTTTCCCAGAGACTCCATCCGCTCAGCACACTGCCAATCTCTTTCTTTATAAAGGGTGATTCTCCCTACAGAAGTGTGTGTGTGTGTGTGTGTGTGTGTGTGTACTTTAACAAACCAGAAAATAACAGAGCTTTATATGCTTGAAGAGGGAAAAAATACGTTAGTATACTCATAATGAGCAAGAAGGGAGGTGGTTTCTGTCCTGAGCACTAAGTGCCCCTGCGATAAGGAAGTGCCCCAACAGCGGTGACAGGGTCCCGGTCATTAATCTGAAACTGAGAAACCACAGAGTGTGAAAATGCGCCAAGCGCAGTTCTCGCCTCCAGGGGTTGTTTACACCAAGGCGGCCTCGTACTGGGTGGCTGGAGAAGGAATACTGACGGCCTGTTTGACCTCAGTGTGCTATTCAAGGTTGGCAGAAAATTCTGTTTCACAATAGCTATTAAATGGCCATTCAAGGCACAGAAAGAAAACCCAGTTTATGCTCCGATGGCTTATTCCAGACATGGGTGTGCAGATGTCACTGCACACAGGTGGAAAGGAAGTCCGTGTCTGGCAATTTTGCTCTTAAGGAATTTAAAAAGCAAGCAAACAAACATGGCACTGATTACTAGCTGCACCCTGAGCAAGTAGCTCCACCTTTTGGGGTCTCGGTTTCCTCATCTAGAAAACAGGATGTAAATGGCTTAGCACAGAGCCTGGTGCTTAGTAAATACTCATCTGTGGTAGCTATGGCTAGCAGTTAGCAGACAGTAAATACCTGGCATACCAGTTCCCCTTTCTTCAAAATGGGGATGGCATTCCCTATTTACCACCTCAAAGGAGTATTAGGAAGATGAAGCAGAAGCCGGGGTAGGTTCTACTAGGTTAGCTTCCAGAAGCAAGATGCTTTTCTAAAAAAAATCTCCTGAGTGCATGTAAAGAATGAAACTGCGAAACGGCCTCCCAGTCCTGGATACATCGAGGCAGCTTGGAAGTGAAGCTGAAACCCGATTTACGGAGGCTCTCGATATACTAAAGAATGCAGCCCAATTTAAACACAGTGCAACCCCAAAGCTAAAGCAGGCACATCCTTATTTTCCAGGAAGTTATTTAGTTAAGTTGTTCCTCCCCAGGGGTAGGGTGGGCTCAGGTTCAGCACTGCTTTCTGTGCGGCCCTGGGCAGGTAGATTAGCCTCTCTGGACCTCAGGATCCTCATTAATCAGAGAGGGCAAAAACTGGGCTCGCTGGGGGGCTGCGGTGAGGGCTGTGATGGGCTAATGAATGTGACAAGCTTGGGGAGTATTTAGCCCCACACGTGGAACACGCTGAGACCTGGCACAGGATGCTGCTGTCAGGTGAGTCCAGAGGTGCTCTAGAATTGGACTGTCGGAATCAGAACCTCCCACCCTAAACCTACCAAACTTACACAAAGTGGAAACAGCTCCTTAAATGTTTTTATACTCACGCGAACTATTTAAAACACTGTAGTATGCAAGTCACTAGGGAACAAATAGAGCTATTATTAGAACAGACCCAGCTTGGGAGTTGAATGAGTCTACAGACCAGTGGTTCTCAACCTTGGCTGCATGTTCAGTCACCTGGGAGGGCTGTAAAGTATCCCGATGCCCAGGTCACACTGCAGAGCAATGAAGTCTGAACCTCTGGGGATGGGACCCAGGCATCGGGGATTTCTTCAGGCTTCCGAGGTGATGCCAGTGTGCAGTCGAGTTTGAGAATCACTGCTATAGACCAAGTGTCATTAGCAGACATTCAAATTCAGTTGAGCAATAGCCCTATCAGCTTGACCCTAAAGATGACAGACTGCAGCACTCAGGGGAGAGGAGAGAAATGGCCTGGGAAAGGCCCTGAAATAAGCATACACAGGACTTGGGGAAGGTCAAGAAGGAAATGTGAAGTGAGGAGACAGGCTCAGACACAGGATGACACAGTGGGGACAGTGCTAAGAGGGGCTGGGGCCATGGGATCCAGGCACAGGGGCCTGGAATTCAATGGGAGGCAGAAGGCAGCAGCTTGAAAATCAATGACTAGAAATTACTTAGAGCCCTGGAGAGACAGGCTAAGAGCACTCTTCACAGGCTTGGAAAGGCAGCGAAGACTCCACCATAAGCCCAGGGAATCGAATCTCCCAGGGCTGAGAATTTCAAGAGCATGAAGTCTGAGTTTCCACAGCTCTGAAAGACAGACACTGATCTTGGAATTGTCACCACAGGATCAAGACAACTATAAACTCTAACACTGTATTTTAGCTTCTGTTTCTTCACTTTCAAGAACAAAAACCCCCCCAAAAAACTAAAAATAAAGGAGACAACTCCAGGTAAGGAAGGGTTATTCTGTTCCTGTCATTGTTGGTTTTCAATCAAATGTGAGTCCTGTCCTGGCCAGTGTGGCTCAGTGGTCAGAGCATCAGCCCTCTCACCGAAGGGTTGCAGGTTCAATTCCAAGTCAAGGGCATGTACTTGGACTGCAGGTTCAATCCCCAGCCCTAGCAGGGGCATGTGCAGGAGGCAACCAATTGATGTCTCTCTCACATTGATGTTTCTCTCTCCCCCTCTCCCCTCTCTCCCTTCCACTCTTTCTAAAAAAAAAAAAAAATCAATGGAAAAAATATCCTTGCGTGAGAATTAACAAAAAATAATTTAAAATGTGAGTCCTGTCCCTTCCCCTCTCCCCCCTCCCCCAAATGACAAGGGTGAGTAACTATAGATAAAGAGAGAAAGTACAACACCCTCTCCCCCTCAGTCTTTTAGGTTCCTAAGCACAGTTCATCATGAAGATAGAGGGACTTCCCTCCATACTTAAAAGTCTTGATTAATAAAGAACAAAATACTCAAGAGTTAAAACTGGTAACCTGATTGAAGTCTGTATAAATTAATGCCTGCTAACAATAATGATAGTGGCTCCTACATGCCAAACACTGGGCGTGGGCTTGCGGACAGTGCCTAAAATCGCTCAAAGACCCTGCAGTGTCCTGTTACAGATGAGGGGACTGAGGCCCAGAGAGGTTGTTACTCTCCCCAGCTCACACACCATGCTAGTGGCCCTCAGGCTGAAATCAGACTTTCCCAGAAAACACACCAAAGAAATGTGATGTCAGGGCTCAGCTCTGGGGATTTCTTAGTTGAAGAGTCTCAAGGAGATCATTGTTGTCCACCTCTCAGTGGGTGAAAAGCAGGCATTTGACGAAGGGGGACTTTTGGCAAAAGAGGAAGGAGAATTTTCCGTATGAGGCAAAAGAACAAAAGGTGACCATGTGTGGACAAAACCAGAGGCTGTTTGTTGTACTACACAGTCTACAAGGGAAAAGAGAGAAGAGCCAGGGACACAACCGTCTGTGCTCTTGACCTGCCACTGCTCCCGGGTGACTGCACCTGAGGCCACCGAGTCCGACAGAGACAGCGGTGCTCAAGTCTGTTCTCGCAGTTTCAAGGGGCCACCCGAATTTCGGACCATCCGAAAGGCCTGCCGTGCATACTTCACTGCAGTCCACGTCTGGGCTGTGGGCTTGAGTCTATGCTTCCAACTCAGCCTTGGCTTCCAGCCTCCTCAACGGGGGAGGTGAGAGGACAGGGACAGAGGCTTGAAGCTTGAGAGCACCAAGGCATGGAGCTACTTGTGACCAGAAATTAATGAAAAATGACTCTTCCTTCACACCAGATCCTACGATTTCTGAAATCCTGATTAAATTTTAAAAAATAACTCCAAAAACAGATTACTCACTGGTTGTACAATAATATAACTGGCCAGAGATCATATTCAAATTACTTGAAGCACAGCCGAAAGGCTTAGGAGAAATTTTTAGAATAACTCTTTATTTTGGGTCAATTCCTCTATGAATATTTATGAGGCCAACTGAGAAAAGATGAGTTGAGAAAAAAATGCAAGGCTTATAAAGGGCCAAATTAAAGGGCTTTCTCTCACTCAAGACAGTATCCTCAGAAGACTGCACTAAACATTGTTTTTTAAGCAGTAATTTCCCTTGTAATGTTGATTCTGCAAAGCTGAAAAGACAGGGCACCAGCTATCTTGGACGCACGGGAAGGCAAAGCACTGGAACAGACGGAAAGACTACTGTGTCGGCTGTACCCCAAATGCAGGAATCCTCCCTATGGCACCCCTTTATCGGTCCCTGGCCTCTGTCATCAAGTGGACTGTTATAGACAGTCACTGTCCTAGGACCCTGATAGTACCTAATGCCACTCCACTGAAGAATGGCCCTATCAATTCTTAAATTGACCCAAAGAGCCACCCGTTGGTGTGTTTGGTCTTCTGGAAAAACATGAAATAAATCTAGTCTCTCTTCAACTTGAGAGGTCTGCAAATATTTGATGAGAGCTACGTCAAAGTCTCCTCTTTCCTAGTTCCTTCAACTGTTCTTCACAGGACCCGGGGCACCATCACTAACCATTCAAGTCACCATCCATTAAAATATTTCTTAACCAAAAACCAAATACTGTGGTAGGGGCTGTGTGGTGCTTTGTAGTGTGTCAGTGCCCTCAGAGAATGGCACTCAGAGCTGAAAACACTTGAGATGTAGTCCACATAAGAATGAAAGGATTACTTCTTTGATATAGACCTTGTTCCTTTATAAATCACTGCAGCTTATATTTACATCATGTGCATGCACACATGTCTGTGTATGTGTGGTTTAGGGTCATATATTGAAATGATGAGTGAAAACAAACAAAAACCCCCATCAGTCCACGAGAAAACAGGCCTGAGAGGTACATGGTCTCCTCTAGTTTTTACTTACACAACAGGTATTTTACTCTGAATGGAAAACTCCACTTCCCTCATTAATTTTATCTTGCTGGTTTCAGTCCAATATTCCAACCCACCCAGGGACATCTGAATTCATATCCTCTTATCCAAAATATGAGCTCTCCTTCTATGCTATGTCACGTTAAATTTG